CATAGGCCCTAGCAACATTAAGGGGTTGGGAGTAAAGTCTCTTTCATGACATCCCAGATTTCCTTGGCTGTTTTTGCCCACAAATAGTTCTGGCTGATATGTGGTTGCATAGAGTTGCACAACCATGTCATAACCAAATAGTTCTCCTGAACCCATTTGGTATACGTTTGGTCCTGCTTAGTTGGTCCTTTCACATCTCCCAACAAGTAGCTGAGTTTTCCTCTACCCCCAATGGCCACCATGGCCGATTGAGTCAATTCTAAGTAGTTGGATCCATCAAACTTCATAGTTGTAATCTGAAAGGCATTCTCAGACATGTTACCAGAATTGCTAGTCCCAAAAACACCTTCCCCCTGATTCTTGAACTCCATTCTTGGTCAAGAATTAACAATAAAAAACTTTCGAAGCTATTGTAATAGAAAACAGCACCTAAACAACTGATAACAGCCGGCCTAGGTCTTCCAAAGAATAAAGAAAACAGAATTCTGTATGAAACCAGTTCAAAATCTGATCTGAAACCAACAAAAGTTCTGAATTTTAGGGTTTTCCCTCGAAACCCTAGAAGGAAAAAAGGTTTTCCAGCCGCACCTCTCAGAATAGACCAAGATGATTCTTTTAAGGTTATTCTCAAGCAAAAAAAACTTACTTTATGAACGAAAATCTTTGGCCACCACCTTCTGTCTAATGCAGAACCCTAATCTTGGGGATCCGAAGCCTTTTCTATTTCTTCCTGACTATTGGAACTCTCCCAACCTTCTACAATCTTCTTAGTATTAGCCGCACACTACCAGTAGCCTCCAAGAATCAGCCGATCCTCCTCCTTTGTTGAAAAACTTCTAAACCTAGGAAATTCTCATGTAGTCAATCTAATTAGACTAACATAAGACCTCCTTCTCTGCAACCAGTTTTAGGTTTTGAACAGAAATTCTGATCGCCACCTTTAGTCTTGATAAAGAAATTGATCTTGGACTCTTTATCTTCCTCTGATTCTTCCTGATTATCAAGAACACAATCCACTCTTTGGACAGCTACTACAGTCTCTGATAATCTCCAAGAATCAGGATCCTCTTAATCTTCCAGCCCTAGGCAACTCTCATGTGATTGGCTGGATCAGACTCACATGAGAAGCCCTAATCCTTGCTCTGATACCAAGTAGTCGATCAAGACTACAATCAGTCTTGAATTCGAAAGAAAAAGGAGAAATTTYAGAAGAAAAGAAGAAGAAGAGAGGGAGAAAAGAAGAGGCACAACGAAGGGATTTAGAAAAGAGAGAGAGGGTTGATCAATTGATTTGCCGACCCACTCTTAATATTTATATATGTTGACTAATTGTAAAAGGGCTGAATTGCCCTTATTGGTTACATGGCAAATAAACTAATAATAAGCTGAAATAACAAGTTGTAACAACAAACTGAAATAACTACCAATACTACCAACTAACACTGACATAACTAACAAAAATATGCTATGCTGCCATACGAACACAGTGGGGTCCACATCAGTGTTCTCTACAATCTTTATGGATTTGTATTCATAGTTGAGGTAAACTAGGGTATCTCATGAGCAATAAGGAGAAACTGGCAAAGATTGATCCTACATATGAAAATTTTATGCAAGAGAACTACACAGTGATTATGTGGTTAGTCAACTCTATGCAGCCTCACATAAGTCAGCATTACCTCTGGATGACTTTAGCCGAGGAGATTTGGGATAGTGTTACAAAAACATACTTCAGAAATTGAATGTTGCAAGAGCATATAAGTTGAAGAATGATGTGAAAATCAGAGACAGGGGGAGAAGAGTGTAGCTGTCTACAACTCTATGTTGAAGTCACTATGGTAGGATATTGATGTTATGGAAGTAGTTGTATGGGAGAGCACCAAGGATGCAGAGACATTCAGGAAACTGATGGAAAGAAACAATGTATTTGAGTTTCTTACAGGACTCAACCCTGAGTTTGACATTACGAGACAATATTCTGGCCAAAGATGAAAAAACCCTTGCTCAAGCATATTCTTTAGCTGCTACCTTTGATTGGCCACTTTATCAACTTGATGTTAAAAATGCATTCTTAAATGGAGAATTACATGAAGAAGTCTATATGTCTTTACCTCCAAGGGTGTATGGGAAGAAAATGAAAGGGAAAGTTTGTAAATTGAGGAAGTCTCTTTATGGACTCAAGTAGAGTCTCCTAGAGCCTGGTTTGAGAGATTCCAGGCTGCCCTTGTTACTTTTGGTTACACAGACTTAGTTTGATCATACCCTCTTTGTTAAGAGGAGAGATTCCTTAGTGACCCTTTGATTGTTTATGTAAATGACATTGTGGTTACTGGTGATGACACTCAGGAAGTGATTAATCTCAAAAGATTTCTTAATACTGAGTTTGAGATCAAAGACTTGGGTGAACTCCGATATTTCTTGGGAATTGAAGTTGCTCAATCTAAAGATGGTATCTTCATTTCTCAACATAAGTATGTCCTTATCTACTTGCAGAAACTGGCAAATAGGGTGCTTAACTAGCTTCCACTCCTATAGACCTGAATCACAAGCTCTCAGCTACTGATGGTAAATTGTTGGCTGATAGGAGAGTGTTTCAGAGACTGCTTGGGAAATTATTATATCTTTGTATGACTCGGCTGGATATTTCCTATGCAATTAGTGTCATAAGTTGGTTCATGCATTCTCCTAGAGATACACACTTAGCAGCTACGAAGAGGGTTTTATGTTACTTGAAAGGGACTCTAGGGAAGGGTATTTTGTTTGCCAAGCATGGACACATGAAGTTGGAAGCATACACCAATGTTGATTGGGTTAGATGTATTGATGATAGGAGATCCACTTCAGGTTACTGTGTTATGGTGGCAAGGAACATTGTGTCATAGAGGAGTAAAAAGCAGTCTATAGTGGCCAAGTCCTCGGCTGAAGCAGAGTACAGGGCAATGGCACATGGAGTTTCAGAACTATTGTGGCTGAGATTACTTTTAGGAGAGTTGGGTATTGACTGTGAGAAGCCAGTGATGTTATATTGTGACAACCAGGATGCTATCAATATTGCACATAATCCTATTCAGCATGACTGAACTAAGCACATAGAGGTTGATAGGCATTTTATACAGGAGAGAGTTGCTTCAGGAGAAGTATGCTTACCATATATTACTTCTGAAGAACAGTTGGCTGATGTTTTGACAAAAGGTGTTCCCAAAGGAGCTGATTCACTATATAAGCAAGATGGGCATGATTGATATCTATGCTCAGCTTGAAGGGGAGTGTAGAGAGACTGGGCCGAGTGGGCCCTAGCTCATTATTCTCTTATTATTGTTCTTCCTAGTTACTTTGTTTGTTAATGAGCCTTTTCTTTATGAGTCTATTAATGTTTTTTATGTCTTTTAAGTAGACTGATGAGCTGGCCGCCCACTTAAGGGCAGACTTTAAATTTGATTAGTTTTAATGAGATTAATAAAAGTTAAGAGAGGTAGAAGGAGAGACCATCGAACTCTTCTTCTTCTCCCTTGCTGTCTTCTTCTTTTCTTTCTTTCTTGGCTTAAATCTGAAATTATTTTGCAGAACTTTATTGGATTAAACCACATCTAAAAGAAAAGATAAATTTACACATACCCTGCCTCCTAGAACAATTAATGAATAAACAATTTCTAACACTAAGAAACTAGGGTCAATGGCAGTCCTAACCCAATCTGAGATGCTTTTATACTAGCCTCTGTAGATGCTATGCCCACCAAATCTCACAAGAGACAAAAATAAGGTTCACAGCTGCTGGGTCTCAGTAAGAACTCACCCAGAATCTGAAGCCATGGCTCTCTCCTCTCTTTACAATCATAAATCCAGTCCAAACCAGTTCAGAAATCCCTTCTTCTACCAAGAAGTATCCCACTTCCAAATATAACAGCTATTCTAAATATGAGAGTAAACCTCAAGGTCTTTTCCTCTCCTCCAGCATCTTGATATGTTCCACAGATCTGTCTTGTAAGAAGAAGTGTGGCAGCTTCTCTTTCAAAACACAATACTAAGACCAATTCTTTTAATATATACATATATATTATACACACGCACACAAACAAACTAAAGTTGTCAGTCCAGATCTTAATAGAATTGGATTGGGTTATCCTGATCTAGTCCAATTAATGAAGGAATCTAAAATCAAAATTTCTATTAAGCTTTAATCAGATTAAGTTCATATTCAATCATGATTAATTTGAAAAGGATTCTGATCATGACTTGATCCATTGACGGCCCTAAATGTGGCTCCTTCTCTTGTATATTTCTTTGTTTTTTCTTAGTGCAGCACCCATTGTTCTAAAGTTTGTATGTTGTTTGGCATTGAAGACTTATTTGGAAAGAAACCCAAAAATGTCTTCATTCATTTTGGTAGACCTGTCAAGGGACGGATCTGGTCTGGGACAGGGTGGAACCAGTCCCGACCCAATTATAATTTGGACACAAAACTCAGAATCAGAACCAAACCAATTATTAATCAGGATAGTCAGGTTTGATCTGATTAGGCCCAATTATACTTGATATCTACATCTTCCTATAATATAGCAACTTGGAACTTCATTGTTGATAATATAACCTTAATAAGAATGATAGTAAATAGTTAACTGTTTATATGTTGATAAAACAAGTGTTTTTTAACTAAAATTATCTTATATACTGAATAAATCTTACCCTTCTAGACATAAAATAGAACAAAAATTACAGAAAAACCATGAGACCTTTATATATTATTAATTACTTAATTGGTTCAGGTCTTAATCAGTTCAGAATAGCAAAAAACGGCCTTGACCCAATTATAATCGGGACACAAAACTCAGAATGAGAACCAGTATAATTGGTTCAGTTCTATTGGATGGACCCAACCCATTGATGGCCCTATTTGACAAACTTTTTGTTAGATTGTTATTTCTCTCTTTTTTGGTTGCATGTTTTGCATATTATTTCTTGAACAGTTTATTGATTTAAGGTATGCTTGAATCATTCTCCAGGGTTGGTAAGCAAAGATTACGTGAAGCTAGAATACAAGCAGTGGATTTTTTGATTTTATTGCTTGCTGGTGCCTGCTTAGGAACACTTGCTAAAGTGAGTGATGAAACCTTTGGGGCGCTCGGCTACACTTATACTGTCATTGCAGTTTGTAAGTCAACTACCTCCCGTCATGCTTGACTATGCTATCTTCCTGCTGAGTTTTATCTGTGTTCTTGAAGCCATGGGTTAAAACCATTCCACTATTTCAGGGGAACTGTGATTTATTCTTGCCTCTTTCGAAGCTTGAAAGTTCTCTTTTCCCATTTTTATGAATTCAGAACTGTCATTTTCTTGTCAATTCCTTAGCTAAACATAAAATGTCCATGATAGTAAATGAAAATAACACTTTTGTCCTGATTCTATAGAATAATAAACACTTTTCTTCGAGTATTTCCTTCCTCACTTGTTCAAAATTTTTGTTGAATTGCAGCTCTCCTGTGCAAGATTGCAGCTTTGAGATCATTTTCTCTGGACAAGTTGCACTATTGGAGAGAGAGTGCATCTGGCATGAGCAGTCTAGCTTATTTTCTCTCAAAAGATACAATTGACCATTTCAATACAATTGTCAAACCTCTGGTTTATCTCTCCATGTTTTATTTCTTTAACAATCCACGATCTTCCTTCCAGGATAATTACATTGTTTTGTTCTTCCTTGTCTATTGTGTGACTGGAATAGCCTATGCACTTGCTATCTTCCTTGAACCTGGTCCAGCCCAACTGGTGAGTTTTTTATTTAAGAAACACTTAACTTTTCAATTTAAATGTTCATATATGATATATCCTTTTTCCCTTTCTTTATAAGATATTTTGGTTTCTGGCAGTGGTCAGTGCTTCTTCCGGTTGTTCTGACTCTTATAGCAACTCAGGATAAAAAAAATGGAATTATGAAGACACTTTGTGACTTATGCTACACAAAGTGGGCTTTGGAAGCATTTGTGATCGCAAATGCTGAAAGGTTTGACCTGACTGGTGTTTCTTAATTCAATTTTTCTTGAATGTTTTGGCCTGAGTCTTCCTTATGGTCACATGTCATGCATTATACTATTTATCTGTATGGTCCATCATGCCTACATAAACATTAGTATGAGGGGTACAACCCAAAATATTGTGGAAACCAGGGTAAAAGTCTTGTTTTTGATAATTTAGGTTGGTAGATTTATTAATTTGAGGAATATACCCCGACTGAAGAAGGAATATATCCCAAGTACAAGCATAGCCTCAAAATCGCTTTCCCTTGGGCTCGAGGAGGTCCTTTCATCAAGCACATTCTGATTCCAATGTGGTTTTACTCAAGATGGATAGATCATAGACCAAATCCTTGAAGCTAAAGAATGCATATAAGAGGTTAGAAGATTGAAAGAAGGGATGGGTGTGATTTGGATTTAGAGAAAGAATACGATTGGTGGACTATAATTTTTTGAAGTGGTATTATAGAAAATTGGTTTTGGGGATACATGGAGAAAATGGACCAAAGGCTGTTTGCAATCATGTCATTATTCCATACTGATCAATTATATGACAAAGTGCCCATCTATGTGAGTAGGCACCTATGTAGACAACAAAATGAAGGGGATGAGAGATCCATCATATGGATGACCGAACCTTGCAGGAAGGTTGGGCGAAATTTCAAAAATTTCTCTCTCTCCCTTGTGGGAATCGCATTCCCTATTTTAGAAAACTACATTTTCAAGGATCAATCTTGAAACCAAACCGGACCAGATCTGAAACCAGAAGGGAGTAGAGGGATATACTTGATACGGAGTAATAGTAAACCCCCAATGAAGGTGTTCACGCCCAAGGAGAAGACCAAAGACTGCTTCCACCGAAGATGACACGGTGTGAGGTGAAGCAGAATCAACAGGACGGTTCTTCAGCAAGAACCGAATTCTTCAACAAGAATATGATGGAGGACAGGTGAGCACGACTTCAGATTGCCTCTTCTAGCAAAAGGCAATATCAAGAACCGTTCTTGATCACTCCCACTGGTGGAGATCGAACTGGGTATGGCGGCAAGAGCAGGAAAGAATAAGAGCAGAAGACAAGTGCAGTCAAACTGTGTTGCCTCTCTCTGTAATTCAGCAGACTGTGAGTCTATTTGGAGGTCTGCCCTGCTCTCCTATTTATAGCCTTAAAGAGAGGATCTCCTAATCCCATTAGGAGTTTCCTAATCCAACTCTTTTATTTGGATTTGGGCTCTCTTTAAGAGATAAGGATAATCCCTTATCTTATCTCAGATAAATATCAGCTTTCCAAATCAAATTAGGAGTTTCCTGATCCAAATCGTTTATTTGGATCTGAACTCTTTAAGTGGATAGGGATAATCCCTTATCCTATCTGCTGATCCAAATCCCAGAACCACCCCCATTTAATTAATCTTATTAAGCCAGTTCGAATTGGGCTTTAGGCCCATTAAGTCTATGTGCTCACTTAACCTCTTAATCTGCTGCCCAATTGGCTATCCTTGTATGGCGTGGGACTCAAACATTGATCTATACATCAGTCACATGGGTTCAGCCCAGCCTCTTTTACAAGGCCTGGCCGAATTCACTGTAGGAGACAGTGAACCCCTGAGTCCATCACCATGGGCTCTTAWTGGGCCCAACATTTACACTAAATGGTCCTTGGGTCAAGCCACCTTATAAAAACCCAAGGACTGTGGGCAAATGCAAGATTAGCCCATCAGGTATTACCCTCAATGGTCTTACACTTAACCTCTCAGCCCATAATGATCAAACACTGCCCAACAAGAGA